CATATCAGGTGACGCCACGGTTTGACATCCCTGTGTAGTATGGGGCTAGCCCAACCGAAGTGATAAAAATGTATAGGCATTATGGTTCAGGGTCTTTCATTCTTCATCTGCCTGCGTGCAGTATTGGAGGTGGAAGTTACCTGGACGTGTAATGTTAATTTTACCTGTGATTCTTTGAATAAACCAGCACGGTTATTTTTTTATATATCCAAGTGGTCCGCTTCATCACTCCGAGTTCCTGGTTAAAAGAGCCGGAATAGCTTCCAATAGCTTACACAGGCAAAGAGGAAGCTGCACTAAAGGAACTGTAAAGAATGATTAATCAGCATGAAAACACATACCCTGATGCTGCTTTTATTATTCTGGGAGATTATATCCACTACAATCTCAGGAAAAGCCTAAACTGTATCAGTTTGTAATCTTTCCTAGTAGAGGAACAAAACACTGGACCAATGTTACAGTAACATTAGAAATGCTTTCTCAGCTGAACCTAAGCCTCATTTTGGTAGATCTGACAACGTAGCAATCCGGCTAAAACCTGCTTACACCAAACGACTCAAGGCAAAACCAGTCTCAGTGAGAACTGTTAACACCTGGAATGACTGTGCACAGGCCAGCCTACAGGGCTGTCTAGAGTCCAGAGACTGGAACATCTTCAAAGGGGCCACAGACAACATCCATGAATATGCAGAGACTGTGAGTGACTACATCAACTGGTGCACAGCCATATGCGCACCAGCTAGAACAGTGTGCATATGGCTAACCCCTCACTACCTCACCAAGTATAATGACATATCCAACTCCACCATTTGAATTACTAGGTGCGATGTTTGAAGTTCACACTGGGAAATACTATTACTCTATTTTTGTGTATTGTGGTTTTAATGCTTTGTTGCCTTTATGTAACTTTTTTATTTTAAAACTAAGTGTTCTTTCTGGCTTTTGACTCCCTACCCAACTCCAAAGGAGAGCTGCACAAAAATTCCTATATGCCTAAACTGTCTGTTTATGCATAAATGGCAAATAAAAATCTTGAATCTTGAGCTAACCCCTCTGGCTCCCATGTAGTAACAGAAAGCTACCAAACTGTCCATCTTGACTACAGCTTTATGTCACCATTTTGAGACCATTGATCACAGCATCTTATTACAGGGACTTGAACATGTTATTAGGATTAAAGGAACTGCACTAAAATGGTTCAAATCATATTTATCAGATAAATTCCAATTTGTTCATCTTAATGTTGAATCTTCCATGTAAACTGAAGTTAGTCATGGTGTTCCACAGAGCTCTGTGTTAGGTCCAGTTCTCTTCACTTTATACGTGTTCCCTTTAGGCAATATTATCAGGAAACAGCATAAATTTCCATTGCTATGCAGATGATACTCAGTTATATTTATCTATGAACCCAGATGAATCAGATCAGTTGGTGAAACACCAAGCATGTCTTAAAGACAAAGGCCTGGATGACTTGTAATCTCTTACTTCTAAACTCTGACAAAACTGAAGTTATTGTACTTGGGCCTGAAAACATTAGAAATCTGCTGTCTAATCATATAGTTACTCTAGATGAGATATAGTAGCTGTGGCCTCCAGTACTGCTGTGAGGAACCTTGAAGTCATTTTTGACCAGGATATGTCCATGTCCATCACACATAAACCAAGTCTCTAGAACTGCCTTCTTTCACCTGCGCAATATTGCAAAAATCAGGAGCATCCTGTCTCAAAGTGATGTTGAAAAACTGGTCCATGCATTTGTTACTTCCAGGCTGGACTACTGTAACTCTTTACTATCAGGATGTCCCAATAATTCCCTAAAAAGCTTCCAGTTAATCCAAAATGCTGCAGCCAGGGTACTGACAGGAACTAGCAAGAGAGATCATATCTCTCCCATATTAGCTTCTCTCCACTGGCTCCCTGTAAAATCCAGAATAGATTTTAAAATCCTTCTTCCAACATACACAGCCCTTAATGACAAGGCTCCATCGTATCTTAAAGACCTCATAGATTAAATCAGAAATGAACCTGAAAATAGTTTGTAAAGTCTCTGAAAATTATTAGTACAATATTTAAAGTATTACTACCCCTCCTCCCCCAACACACACACACACACACACACACGCACATTATATTGAAAATAAAATATTTGAAAACTTAAGGCTGAAGCTTAGAGAGCAGAGGTAGGAAGGAGAGGTACACTGAAAGCAGTAGAACACAGCGTAGAAATAAGGCTCAAAATGTTATGAAGAGAAACAAATGTGGGGTTGTGGTCTGTCTGCTCCCTCCTCGGGTCAACAGTGGAGTGACAAGGGGTACTGTGCACAGAAATGTGCAAAATGTGTCAGATGGAGCAAAGCTACAAACAACCTGAGGAAATGAGGATGAGATGAGATCAGGTGGTTAAAGGAGGATGCGAGGAGCTGAAAGGAAGACAGAGTTCTACTGTACCTCTGTCCTCTGCCCTGATGAGATGAGACGTCTTGTCGGAACCAGGAGCCTCCGGTTTGAGAACTGAAAAACGAAACATGGTCCACCAAAAGTCACCTCGTCTGTTGACCCAACTGATTCAAGACTCAAGAAACGGTATGGTGGAGTATACAATGTCATAAGAACAATCAGACAAAGAAAACTGCTGTCTGACACAAACACAGACACCACTCTCTAGAGAGAGATGCAGTCACACACATATAGCTGCACAAAACACACTGTTCTGTTTGTAGGCAGATAATTTTTTTTGTCTGTGAGACACATCGCGATATCTTAACCCAGACAGGAAGTTGTGCACAGACACGTACTGACTCGTCCCAGAAACGGACACACACACACCAAAGTGAAACGCATACAGCAGTCAAAGGATGTGAATGCAAATTCTGTGTTACTTCCTGTGCAGACAGGAAAATGCATAGTGAGGCAACTGCATTTTTTGCAAACTGTAGATGTTGGTGTTGATAAAACAAAAATGCCACATGACTCTATACTGTTTCTGTGTATTTTTATGGGGCCTTTTAGGTGGATTCTCAGGTCCAGCTCTTAGTCATATACTTATTTGTATCCAATTGTCTTATTCTGTTCTACTGGCAGTCTCTGTTGTGATATTTGAACTATCCCATAATGGATCACACAACCTTGGTATAACCTTGATCCGACATGATGAAATTTGTAAACTATTTATGGACAGAAAATTGCTTTACTAACCCTAACATACCCATCCATGACATGCCCTTGTTATTTATGGGTAAGAGGAAACATTTATTTTAAATGAGAAAATCTGTTATCATCAAAGATCTGTGTTGTGAGTGAAAACAAAAAGCTCTTAGATACTATAGATTGTGCTTTTAACCAGGCAACCCACTTTAGCACACGTCCCTCACACTTAGCACCGCATTTAATAAGACAAAGGGGACAAAGTGTTCCTTACCTGTGCTTTTTGACGGTGCAGGTGGCTTTTTTGGTTTCTAATAGAACATGAAAGAGGAAAGAAAAATAGGTCAGCATAACTTCAAACATTCAGTAATGCACACTAACATTTTCTCAAATATAAAAGCCCCCCAACCTGGAGGAAAGGAGAAAAAGATAAATAAAGTTTGGTCTAAAGAGGGAGACTTGCTAATAGCTAGATTCAATCTTTAGTATTTTATGTATAAACATGGGCAACAGCAGTGGGGGTGAGGTGTCACTGGAAACTCCCCAATGCACAGCAATTTTGGTTTGACATTGAGTGCACTTTGCAGCATTTCTCTGCTCACAGTAGGAAAGCAGTAGCAGATGCCACTTAAAGCTTTTCATCACTTGAACTGGTGAAGCCCCTTTTTTTATAGCTGTATACAAATGTAGCTGTGTTCATTAGTAAGATCAGAATAACACACTTTATTACAGTCATGACAAATGATGCATGCAGTATGAGCCAGAACAGCAAGGAATGTCTGATTCACACCAGTCATTCACAGCAGAAAACATTTCCTTTTAACTGATTAACAGCCGTGTGAAAGTGACTGATCCGTTTTTCAGATAGAGGTTATAATTTTAATAACGTGTACTGTCAAGTATGATTATGGACGTCAGACCCACTATAGTTAACTTGATTCAACCTTCTGGCACCGACCGCTGGCCACTCAAACTACTGTGCTCATGTTAGATTAGTATTCTATTAATATTTATACACCGCTAACAGATAAGGACATCTTCAGGACACACTTGGTTCACCAAGTGATGCTCTGCATTACTGAATTCAGACTTTTAACATGTTCCTTGAGCCACCTAAGAGTGTCTGAAGTAATATTAACATTCCACAAACATCCTGTTCTATTTTGTATAGGCTCCGCCCTCTAAGAGCTGTCGCTATTGGGTTCACCCCTCGCGCATGCACAGTCCTGAAGAGATTCTTTCACGCCCTGTGCCCTGCACTGCACTGCACAAGAGCCATTCCTCACTGCTGGACTCCAGCGCCGCGCCGCCGTCACTGTGTGCCCAGGCTGCGATTTGGACTTCATAATACAGTGTGTTAACACGCTGAACAGGCTCTCTCCCCCCAGGCAGCTTGCCCCCTTAGTGCTTGCTTGCTTGCCTGCGGAGGAGTGCCGGGCGGAGGTGTTCGCAGCTATCAGGGCAGGGCCCTGACAATGTCAGCGGCTAGGCTAGGCTAACCAAACCACGGTGATGGTCCCTTGGTGTATGCACCCCCTGGGTTTCTCGCCGTGAGTGGGCCCAAGTCCACTGACTCACTCCCTGCCATAGTTGGCTCCCCGGACCACATTCATTAACGCGCATTCAAGACAGGTGCAGTGACTAAATGTGACAAAAAAAGAAAAAAAAAAGATTGGGGCAGTCATTTTATGAGTTCTCTCCACAACGGAAGACGCAGCTGCACTGCCAACACCCCATATGGATCCTGCCGCTGAAACACAACTGTCTTTTCAGGGCCAACACCAGAGTCATAAGAGCAGTTTTCTGACAATTGTTTCTCCTCTCTGTGTGCTCAATGTCCGTCACACACACACACACGCGTTTTCCCCACTGCTCAGTTCTCCCCTTGCACAAGCTTGTGCCTTGGGGTGCACTTAACTTTAAGCCTTCTCCACAGCCATGCCCCCCCCCCCAAAAAAAAGCGCCCTCCCTGGGGTTGTGCATACTGAACACTAGTCTCTGGTAATCGTTGAGAGGGTCCACCAATGGCTAGCGGCAATGCACATGAGCGCACTGCATACGAACGCTCATCCCCTGACAGAGCGTTACGCGGTGTGGTGAGAGTGGCTGTCCATGAATAATTGTATGGACAAGCTGAACCAGCCACACTCTGCATTTTTCCAGGCACACCCCTGCTTTCAGCGGCATGCAGGAAACTGTCACGACTTCACCTGTGAGCTCCACTGCACTGATGGCAGAGCTGCAAGTGCTGTTTACCAAAGCAGCTACTGTATCTCCGTGGTGCCATTGGGCCAGGAGCGTGAAAAGAAGCCCTTGCGTTACTTCCTGGTTCCCAAAAAGTCGGGCCAAATGAGACCCATCCTCATCTGTCTCTCCTTCAACAACTACATAGTACAGAGACAGTTTCACATGCTCACCACAAAACAAGCACTGGAGTGTATGTGTCCCAGTGACTGGTTTACTTCCATCAATCTGTGAGACACCTATTTTCATGTACCCATTATCCCCAAACACAGGAAACTCCTGCGTTTCTCCTTCCGAGGTGCACTTTTCCAGTACAACAGGCCTTTCAGCTATTCACTGGCCCTCCGCACGTTTTACAAGTGCGTGGAAGTGGCGTTAGTACCACTACACAGAGCAGGAATCAGAGTCCTCTTTTATTTAGATGATCTGATTCTGATGGCGTGCTCCAGACCTCAAGCAGCTTTTCACACAGCGGTGCTGGTGCAACACCTGACACAAATGGGGTTTGCAATAAACTGGACAAAGAGCTCTCCGGTGCCCTCCCAGACAATCATCTACCTGGGAGTGCACTTAGACTCTCTTAGCATGGAAGCAAGGCTGTCACCCGCCAGACAAGAAATACTTTCATCTCTCCTGCAGCGCGTTGTTCACCACACGAGAGTAACAGCTCTATCTGTCATGCTTTTACTAGGAACAATGTCAGCCAGTCATGTCGTAGTTCCCTTCGGTCTTCTTCATATGAGGAAGTTCCAGAGGTGGTTTGGCAGTCTGCACTTCGACCCGGTGCGCCACAAAAGGCGTGTGCTCACGGTTCCTCCCTTGGTCCAATCAGACCTGGAGTACTGGGGAACTCCCAGTGTGCTGACAGTGGGAGCTGCCTTGGGCAGAGCCACATCACATGTCTCGGTGCTCACAGACACATTTCTGTTCAGCTGGGGAGGCTCATGTCTGTTACAGGCTGTGGGAGGATGGTGGGAATCACACTCCGTCTCTCCACATCAACTGTCTGGAACTAGTTACGGTGCTGAAGGTGGTGATTACTTGTCACCATGTACGCTCACTTGACTGTACTATCAATGCAAGCCGCCATTGTACCCTGTATGTGTGCGTGTGTGTGCGCGCCCTTACTGCACACACGCACTCTGTCTGTGCGCTCTCCACACCATCACACTGGTACCATCATGCTTACTGTTCTCCGTTGGTAATATTGCTATTACTACTGTGAGACAACAGCTGCATAATACAAACATCCGATTATCTCTGTGCGCTGCTAGCGCCTGTATGCTCTTGCAATTTAACTGTTATCTGTGCATTGTTAGGCGCACGCTCTCGCTGTGCGCTCTTCCCTGTACTTTGTAATGTATGGATCTATTTTCCTAGTGCAGTAATACCCCTGTGTCTATTGCATATTGATTGACTGATTGATGCTGCATATGCGTATTGTAAATCTGCATATAAAAATGCTATCTGTCCCTGAAATGTGCAATCCC